ATAACATGAGCCAAGACAGGCCATTTATATGGAAAAGCCACTAAAAGTGGCGTGGGTGGGCCTGCAAGTTGGATAGGGCAAGGTCTCAGGGAATCACCAGAGAGGGATCAATTAGGTTGGCTAGGTTGATGGAGACTCAGATATGGTGCCTGTAGGAGGGCTCAGCAAAGGAACAATGGCTTCTGTCAGCACTTCTGTCTGAGAGAAAGCTCCTCCTCCAACCCTCGCTCTGAATGAAGCCAGCCAATTCAGTTCCTGAGCATATATGTCCCTGGCACATTTCAAGCTGCTGCTCCAGTGGCTGGAGTTCAGAGTGAATGAGTCCATCAGCAAGTAAGTTTATGTGCAGGCCCTTTAAGAGGAACACCTGAAACTCCAGCTGCCCTCTGTTTCATTTGGACACAGTCTCTGCTGGTTTTTACAGCCAGAAGATATGTGGACTTCTGTCCCCAGCACTGGAACCCTAGGGTAGGGAGGCTGATGAGGGCTGGGGATCCCTTGCTCTTTAGGGTGTACTTCTACAGCTGAGATAGCCCTTGTGATCTTTAACCGCCACACTTGGATGTAGGACCATCTCATTCTGTGTCTCTGCCCCTACTACCAGGCTTGAGGTGGTTTCTCCTGTATATCCTTTGTTATAGAACTTCTGTTCAGCTAGATTTCAGGTGATCCTCAATGTAGTTTAGTTGTAATTTTGATGTGGTTGTGGAGGAAGCCAGCACAGCATTTACCTACTTTGCCATCTTGACTGGTAGCCAAATTTATTTTGTTTTTAAATTTGCTTTTAAATCTATTTTTTGTCACTTCACAGGACCTTTAGATGAATGAAGAGATACATACAAGCACCGAGTATGCCATCTTTATTCAACCGCCCTCTAATTTCTTAATAAGAAAAATTAAATTTAGCCATTTTACTTTGTTTCTCATACTTCAAAGAACTGTTTATAATACAGTTACCCTTTTTAACAACAACAAAAACACAAACGTATTTTATTATTATTCTGAGAATGGCTGTTTCCCAAAAGGAAATAATGATATAAAATTAAATATTAGGTGAGAACAGAAGTGTCAATGTAGGGACAAAGGAATAACTAGTGTTTGATAATGATTCTTTCTCTCTTTACAAGTCCATGATTCTATTTGCTAATGAATGGGCCTGTACTGAAATCAAATAAGAAGAGGGACACTTCCAAATCTGGTGGTATTTTTTACAATAGGCCATGGATATGTTCTCTTCAGTTCCTTATAAACACTTGGCCCTGCAGCATGATTTATTGAAAAGAGCATTGGTTTTACAATGAAGTACACTTCTCAATTTGTCCGCTAAAAGTTTCTGCCTTTCCATCGACTTGTCTATAAAACTTGGTTAGAAATATCTGTAACACTTAGAAAATTATAAAGTACCCTGTAAGCTTAAAAGTGGAAAAAAGAAGATTGTCATATTGCAGAAGAAACAGCCATTTTTGTAGCTGCATTTTTAGGCTTTGCTCAATCCCCCACACCCTACCCCTAGAGTGATTGTATCCTTATAGCCTGGGATTTACTCTCACATATAGTCATTTGTATCAGGAAGAAGAATAAAGAGTAAGTAGGTTATGTGACAAGTTAAATCTACAGATAGATAGATAAAGATAGTGCAATGCCATTGCAATGCTATCCTATTACAATGCTTCTGTTTTGCAATATCTAGTCCAGGTTCATTTTCTGGTATAGTTAAAATGCTGTGGGAGGCTTACTTGAGACTAGAGGACACTGACCTATTGAAGGTGTTGACTGTTCCTGAAGAAACCTCTCTGATGCTCAAAGGAATGGGGTGGGGTGAAAATCCACCCATGCAGAGGTAGGAAGCCTCAGAGGTGCAGAGGAAGAGGAGGAGGATGCCCCCTTTTAAGCAAGGCAGTTCTTTTCTGGACCAGATCTTGAATTCTAAGTATGTTTCCAAGCTTAATTTTCCCTCTCAAAAACATGTAGACTGCCAAGTTTGATTTTCAGATCTGGGTTAACACTCACATTCTCCACAAAGTAATGGCTCTATGTGGTTAAAAAGCTTGCCATCTATTTTACAGAGAAGTTTCAAATACCTAATTAATAAAAATTTCTTTTGAATGTGAAGGCCATTCTCTAACAGAAAGTCTCCTCTAATCCTGCAGAATTAGTTAGAATCTCTGTATCCTGCCTTACAAGCATTTATCTCAATTAAGAGCTAGCTGCCGGTTTCCTCATAGGTAAAAAAATTTGGCTCTCTGAGCCAGGAGCCAGAAAGGTTGAGGACTTCTCCTCTCAGGAGACCATGAAGGCACATTTTTATGAAGCATCAATGGTAGGAAGCTCCGGGTTGTTTACTCAAGTCAATACCAAGTTCCTTATGATGAGTGGACACTCCTCTATGGTCTGGCTATCATTTGGCCCTAGTTTTCCATGTTGTGGGTCATATTTTTTGCTATCATTGGTGTTTTAGATGGAAGCCTGGACAGGCTAAGGCATGTGCCAGCCTAAGGTCCCTCTGAAGTGACTACTAGGATAGTGAATGAAGCAGGAGGTTGACCTGAATTCAAGTCATTCACTTTGCTATGTCCGACTTTTCTCACATGTCAAATGGGTATTTGAACCCTATGATTTCAATGTCTATTCTGCCCTGGTATCTTATACATCTTGTGGTTCTATGTCTGAAATTAATTTTGTTTTAATAATATAGACATAATTTTTTGGTTCTTTTCTATAAAAATATTTGTTTTTCTAAATCAGCTGTTAAGTTTTCTCCTAAACCAATTGTTAACTTTTTTTCTGAGTAAGATTTCTTATAAAATCTAAAGCTATAATTTCATTCAGAGTCCAGAAAAATTATTTACAGACATACTTGTCTCTTTTTTCTGATAGGATGAGTTTATATGATGTATTTCAAATTAAAAAAAATAGAAATAGAACGATACAATGTTTGGTGATATAGAGTATTTTGCTGACCAGTAAATAGTCTGAAAAAATGTTATTAAATCAAAGAGGAAATATTTGAAAAAATATTTTTCTGGAATTACACAATCTCTTTTCTCTCAAAAATATGTCCATTTTCCTACTAGCACATAAAAAGGTATAATTGTAGCTTTAAAACATAACAAAACCTGTATCAGAATATTTAGCTATTTGAGAGCAAATGCATTTGGTATGAGATTTACAACTTATAAATGTAACCAGTAGAGTAGCCAAATCATTCTTCAAATTTGCATGCAATAGATAGCCCCAGTATGTGATGCTGAACATTCTTTCTTATAGATAATCACAATTTCCCCCTAGAAATGATGCAATTGTCACTGGAAACCAGATGGTAAGTAAAGCAGCAAAAAAGACTGTGGCTTGGATGCAGTTACCAGCCATCAAAACTTGCAGATTCTATATATTTTCCTCTGGAGTGAACCAGCTCAAGAGATGACTGGGCCAAACCAGTAGCACAAGTAGGTCTTCCACAAAACCCTTCTCCATGGTTCTCCTAGTTATCTCAGAAAATCAGCTTTGTTTCACAAGGGGAAGGAGAGCAATGAATTCAGAGGATGGGCAGGAGAATGAGAAAGCTTACTCTCAATTATTCAGTGGCTCCCCATTGCCTCCAGGATAATGTGTAAGTTCTTCATTTGGACACTTAAGGCTTCCACTTTCTGTGCCCAGCTGACATTATAGCCTCACCCAAACCACAGGGAATAGTAGGGATAAGATCAGAAAGGTAATAGGGAACCAAACCAGTCAAGACCTTGACTTTAACTTCGAGTGAGGTGGGAGCCATTATACGTTCTGAGGAAACAGTAACAAAATCCATCTTAGTTTTATTTGGTTAATGGACAGTTGGTCCTGTACAAAATGTCCATGGAGACAATTGGTCCATGCTAACTGTCCTTGATATTTGGTCTTAACCAACACATCCATCTTAGAAAATGTCACCAGATTCAAATAGCCAATATATCTATTTCTACTTTTGGCTTACAAGATGCATACATTAAAAACCCTATCATGTTGTATTGCTAAAAATAACCCTTTTCACCTCAGTAACTTAGCTAGTAATGGCACATGGGATATGGTAGATGAATTGGAGTGGACCAAATGTCTCCATTGAAGTTTTGGTACATGACCAAATGTCCTGCAAGGGTTTTAGTATTACTCATTCTTCTTAAATATACCCTACATTTCCATCATACAGATCCCTTCATCCTGAGTGCCCTCTTCAAGCATCCCTACCCATAGCAATCTCATTCTACTTTCAGTATCCCTCCTACATAAAGCCACCTTGATTCCTCCAGAAAGATGTATCTCTCCCTCTGGTTCTAGTCTTATAAATGCCCAAAGAACTTGGCATAAGCCAAGGTTTTGCATGTTATGCCTTATACTAACTCTTAGGAGTTAGGCGACAACATAGATGTCTTGCTTTGAGCTTCAGCTGGATTGCAAACCCCTCAGGCATGAATTACATTTTATAGAGCAAACCAGTGCCATTATTTCAATCATGAGAAAAGCCAAGTGCCTCCACAAACTCAACTCAGTTTCTAGGCCCTCAGCTATTATGACACCTACCAACAGATTTGCCAACGGGTACAAAGTTCAAGTTCATGTACATTTTTAAAAACACAATGAGTAAAAATATTCATGTTTTAAAAAGTTAAGACCAAATTATCATTTAACCAACTTCTTCCAACTAAACTGCTTTGGACACCTATCGTTACCCTTCAGATGGAATTCTGCAGAGATTTATTGTCTCCACCTCTACTTTGAGACTTGTATTGTGCTGTCATCTTTGTTATATTTATTTGCCACATTTTTTTTACTTACCCCACTGAAATGTAAGTTCTTTGGGGATGGAGGCCTCACTGAGTTAGTTATGGATCCCACTGGTTCCCTTACCCAGGGACCCTTACTCAAAAAATATTTGGAGATGGAATATTTGCATGGCTCTTCCAGCCTTCAATTGCAAATGAAATACAAAAGGCGACCAAACATAAACTTCTGCCTCTGTTATACAGGATTTTGTGCCACTGTATCAAAACTTTGAGAATTTTTACACACGGAACCTTTACATGAGAATCAGAGACAACTGGAACCGGCCCATTTGCAGTGCCCCAGGAGCTCTGTTCGATGTGATGGAGAGGGTATCAGATGACTACAACTGGACATTTAGGTGAGGCATCCATCTGGAGGGGCTTGGTTGGAAGAAAACCCTTTCTGGGAAATCCTAGCCTGGGCACCAGATTACAGACCTGAACAACTAAAGGATGGAAAAAGCTAGTCTCTCATCATTCAGTCTTTTGCAAGCCATTATAAGCCAGTGGGGGAAGTCATAGTAATTAAGTTGCTAAGGGTGGCTTGTTTATATTGCAATTTAAGTGAGATCTGTGTCAGAAGGTACAGGATACAGAGCAAGCCAGGAAGAGCCCTTTTCAGCTTTATTAATAAATTATACCCTCCTACTTCTTGCTGAAGGAGACAGTGATTGCTGTGGCTGTTTCTCGTTTAAAAGGTTCTTGCTGGAATTTAAACTGAAGCATAGGTGTCATGACTCGGTAAACCTTTTTCCAATACTCCACCCAGTTTCATTATGGGGATACTCTCCTCTAATGGCAAACAATTTTGTTGTCAAAAAGAAAATATATGACTTGGGCCAGATCCAAGATCTTTTTGTAAGAGTCTTTTATGAGGCGCTAGAATGATATTAAATGACAAAGCCCTTTGTGCTAACCTGACCTTTTCTCTGCAGGTTTACTGGAAGAATCATCAAAGATGTCATCAACATGGGCTCCTATAACTTCCTTGGCCTGGCAGCTAGATACGATGAATCTATGAGGACAGTGAAGGATGTTTTAGAGTCGCATGGCGTAGGTGTGGCCAGTACTAGATGTGAAATGGGTATGTATATTCACTATTTTGAAATTTTGTCCAGTGGGTCTCATGACTACTTCTCAAATCTAGGTCATATCTAGACTTTGTGCCTCAAAAAACTATTATAAAATGCAAAACAGGAAAAAGTAGATTAAAATCTTTTTGGAAATTTCAAACATTATATTCTTAAAAGCAGTTTATTAATTGCAGATTTTAATTCATCAGAATAAATAAAAATGAATCTTTCCTGATCATTATTATCTAAATAGAAACTATTGTGCTTCATTCATCTGGTCCTTTTCTAGGTCCCTTCTCCTACTTTTTTTTTTTTAACAGTTTTATTGAGGTATAATTGATATTCAAAAAAATTGTACTTATTTAGTATATACAATTTGGTGAGTTTGGACATGTATATACACCCATGAAACCATCACGACAATCAAGATAATAAACATATCCATTATCTCAGAAAGTTGCCCCAACTTTTTGTGGTAAGAATACTTAACATGAGATCTACCTTTAAAAAAAATGTTAAGTGCACAATATAGTATTGTTAACTATAAGCACTATGTTGTACAGCAGACCTCTAGAACTTATTCATCTTGCACAACTGAAACTTTATGCCCATTGAACAACTTCTCTTTTGAATTTGGCTCTTTCTTCCATATTTCTGAATGATGTCCATTACTAATCTTGCTTTTGTGTTTGTGTATTGCCTGTCTCTGATGCTTAAACATAAGTGTCATGAAGGAAGAAACTGGCCCCTTGACTGTTATGTTGAATGAATGAATGAACAAATGAATGATGAGTGAATGAATGGGCAAGGTGAAACACACTGCTTGTTCAGTTCTTTTTTTTGATGAAATATTCTCTCTTACCCAGAGGAGTGAAATCTGTGAGAAGGAAGCTACTGCTCCTCTCTTGTCTGGGGAGAAAGAATGATGCAAACTTCCTCCTATGAGTTCTTTGCTATTCCTGGCACATTGTTTTCTTATTTATCTCATTTATTTCTCACAAAAATCATGTGTTATAGTAGGCAGCACAGGTGATGTTATTCTCATCTTCTAGAGGTAAATCTGCTAAGAAAGAGATTTACCGTTAATGAAAATTGAGTCACTGGCGTAATTATTCAGACCTGTGCCATAAATAATTCAAATTGAACAAAATAATTTTATATCCATATATTCAGTAAATACTTAGTTAAAGCTCTAGCATTTATAAGAGGCTGCCCAAATTTTTTAAAAAAGACATCTTACTTATTTTCATTTTGATGTATGAGGGCTGAAGATATGAGCAGGGTGCACGAAGAAGATTCTCTTCCACATAGAAGAACTGGGTGCCCACAATGCTCCATTTGGCAATGAGGCAGAGACTAGAAAAAGACTCCCAGTTCATAAGAGACATGGAATCAGTAACCTTTGGAGATGTTTCCTTTTGTCCCAGTGACACCACATACTAAGACTGTTAACCAGACAGAAAACAGATTTCTGAAGGTGATGACTCTCAAATCACTGAGACAGAACACTCCCCAATCACAGCCAGCAGAAGCTGAAGGGAGGAAGCTTGACACAGGCAATGGTTTGCCTCCAGAGAAAGCTAGATGTGAAATATAGGTCCCAAATTCTGCAGCCTCAACAAGTCCAGAGAAACCATGAAGAGGTGAAGATCTTAATTTGGACTGCCTACAGCCTAAGTTCTTTTTCCACCTACTCACTATTCTGAGTTACTGGGCATTTCATATTTACCTGCTTCATTGAGCTCTGGAGCTCAAGATCTAGAAAGAAGATTTTAACTGTTTTCAAGTAAACACTCAGAGAGCAAAATAGAAGCTACCCACAGTAATTTTAGGCAGTTAGAAGGACTAAAAACAAGGACACAGCAAACTAAAATAAATAAGTAAACAGGGTACATCTAAAACTATTCTTCAACATAAATAGTAACCTTAACATAACATGAAATAATTAGTAGCATAATTTTGAATGTCATTTATTTCAAGAAATACAAGTAACTTTTGGAAAACATATGCTACATAGTCTTAAGAAAAATGTTCAATAGTGGCAACGGATTAACTGTCAAAACTTGGGAATATAGAGGATTAACAATTTTTAGTAATCAAATTGCTTCTTGAGGAACCAAAAGTAAAAGTTTAAGAATGTTTAATGACTTAAAAATATTTTCTAGAGCTTTTGAAAGTAGTTTCTAATGACCTATAGGGAAAAGAACATAGAAATTATATTACAAAATAGAAAAATTGAACAAAAAAGAAAATCAAGAGAAAGTATTTAAAATATAATAAAAAAATAGAAGACCACACATATTACTTTGACCAAGAATATGTAAGAATATGTAACTAGAACATATTTGCTTATTGAAATAAAAGGACTAAGGTTTGGCAAAATAATAAAAATAAAAATTAAAAAAAATAAACTCAATTATGTGCTATAATTAAAAACAAATACAGTTAAATTAAAGTTCTTTCAAAGGATTAAAGTAGAAAGATAGGTCTTAGCCAAGCACCTGGTTCCCTCCTTCCTCCTGCAACCACCACCAAAATATACCTCAGTGCCTAAATGGAAGGTCAATTTAGTGGAAGGAGCAGCAAAGAAGGAGTCCAAAAATAAGGTTGTTTGCCAAATCTGCCAATGTTCAAACTAAGCCCAAAATACAGCTGGAAATAATACATTTTCAGACAGATATATAAAGAATTGTAAATGCTATTTTTAAGATGTGAAATGATGTGCTGCTGTTCATTTTTGTGTATAACTGAAAAACAGTGGAATTCAGAATTTAAAAAGGCTTTGATTCCTTTGCGGGCCAATTTAACATTCCACAGGCTGAAAGAGCTGTACATTTTTTATATCTTAAATACGAGGCAAAGAGAAATGGTGATATGGAATCATAATCAAGCATTTGAAATATTTTAAATTTATATTTACTATACTCATATTGTTTTTTTTGTTAGAATGCTCCCTGATTTGGGCAGTCTCCTTCTAATTATGTACCATATGTAACATTTTTGGTAATTGCATAATTGCATAATGGAGATAGATACAACTCCTACATCCTTTATGCATCCAATAACACAGCAGAAACATATATAGCTATTTATTTCTCTATACAACTGGAAATTAATAGGCTAATGCATGTGGGAGGGGCTTTGAAATCATGAAGATCAATTTAACATTCCACAAGCTGATTAGAAAGAGCAAGAAAAATAAAAAAAATGAAATAGCGATAAGCAACTATCAAGTACCTCCTAGTCCTTAAAACAGAAAGAAGTCAAGAAAATAAACATATAAAGATATACGACATTAACAATGTAATTCTTGAGTTTAATTTAATATTTATATATTGAATACTGAAACTTAAAACGTATTATCAAGATACTTCATCTTTTTAAAGCTATTGAGTTTTCACAAAAATGTAGTGTATGTATAGTATGCCACAAAGAAAATCTCATTAAATTCTGAAAAAGTGAAATCTACATAGATCATTGGATTCTTGGATCACAGTAAAATAAAGCTAAAAGTTAATAACAAAATTAGAAACAAACATTTTTTAAAAAATTACTTGAAGGTTTTAAGCCTCTCCTAAGAGACCCTTGAATCAAAAGGGAAATGAAATTACAATTACATATTTAGAAACTGACAATTATGAGAGCGTCAGAGGACCCAACTACTTGTGTATTCAGAGGAATATATATATTCTTACCTAAAGAAGAAAAATTGGAGCTAATAAACTAAACAACCAGTGCATTAAGGAATAAAAGGAAGCAAAAGTATTGAATTATTGAAGATAAAAACAGAAACCTATGAACTAGAGAATAGTAATTTTTATTAGGTTGAAGCATCTCTGTTCTAATAAGTCACTAAAGGTGATTCTGATGAGCAACCAGAGTTGACGATCACTGAGCTACAACCCTAATCTCAAAATTTGACAAAAAAGTATTTAATAAAAGGAAAATGATTAGGCAATATTACTTACAAAAAAATTATTCAAGAAATTGGCTCTTTTCCTGTGGGAGCCACCAGATTAAGAGGAGCGCAGCCATCTCTTCTCCCTACCATTCCGTGTGCTCATCCACTGGTATTGGTGTACTCAGAAAAGGGGGAATCATCTGGCAAAATGTCACTTTGCCTACTATGTTCAAGGCTCCCATTTAATCAGATATTGTAAACTTTTTCACACCAACCTGTGCAAAAAAAATAGCCTAGTGCTGTCAGTAAAGTAGCAGGTCATCAAACCAGTGCTGAGTCATGGGATACTGGCAGAGGTGTGTCTCAAGTTCCCAAAACTGAAGGCAATAAGAGTTATCGTCTGGCCAGGATGTTTTTGGCGATATGTGTCATGGGGTGCACATGTTTGCACCAGCCAAAACCTGGTGCCTCTGGCACTGCAGAGTAAATACAACACACAAACGATATGCCCTCTGCTCTGCCCTGGCTGCCTTGGTCTTACTGGTGCTGGTCTTGTCTAAAGGTCCTCATATTGAGGAAGTATCTGAACTTCCTTTGGTAGTTAAAGATAAAGTTGAGGGCTACAAGATGACCAAGGAGGCTGTTTTGCTTCTTAAGAAACTTAAGGCCTGAAATGATATCAAAAAGATTTATGCCTCGCAGTGAATGAGAGCTGGCAACGGCAAAATGAGAAATCATCGTCGTACCCAGTGCAGGAGACCCTGCATCATCTATAATGAGGGTAATGGCATCATCAAAGCCTTCAAGAACATCCCTGGAATTACCTTGCTTAATGTAAGCAAACTGAACATTTTGAAACTTGCTCCTAGTGGGCACATGGGCCATTTTTGCATTGGAACTGAAAGTGCTTTCTGCAAGTTAGATAACCTGCATGACATTTGGTGTAAAGCTGCCTCCCTGAAGAGTAACTACAAACTGCCCATGTACAAGATGTTCAGCATAGAACTTAGCAGAATCTTGAAAAGCCCAGAGGTCCAAAAAGCCCTCCAAGCACAACACAAGAAGATTCATCACAGGGTCCTGAAGAAGAATCCACTGAAAAATCTGAGA